GAGATCAAAACATTAGTTTATACTGAGCCAAGCTTAGGAAAACCTTCCACCGTTGACGCTGTCATGTTCTTAGTTTTTCAATCAAGTAATCAGCCTGCAATTAAAAAAAAAAAAAGCACATTTTTTATTCTAGACATCAGAGCATCTATCAAACAAAACTGCTGGCATTCCTCTTATAATAAGCCATGCCAGTAAAGCAGTGTACTACATATTGTTTCTAAAAATCTTAGCATTCTAAAAACCATAAAAATGTCTTCAAAAAAATCAGATCATTTTAATGCAACTACTGTCTAGTACAGGTATTCCACATTATCTATAAGTAGGTAGATTGTAAGCTACATTACATATTCATTTAAAAAATTTCCAGTAAGAAGAAAGAAATCAATATACTAAGTTTTAAAAGTAAATTAACACAGAGGAAACGTAAATGTTATCAGTGAAAGAAGCCAACCTAAAAGGCTATAGACTGTATGATTCCACTCTGAGACACTGAAGATCAGCAGTCGGCAAGGACAGAGGTGACCAGAGCAGGCAGAGCGCAGAGGACTCTCGGCCCGTGAGACTGCTCTGCCTGATACGGTGGCAGATGCGAGCGAGGCCCAGAAGGCACAGTGCCAACGTGAGCCCCGAAGTCTGAGGGCAGACTCTGAACTATGGACTCAGGCTAAGCCCCTGCCAGCGTCGCTTCACTGAGGGAGGCCGGGACGGCAGGGAGGGTGCACGTGTGCAGATGGGGCTCATGGAAACTGCGTTCCATACCCAATTTTGAGAACCTACACCTGCTGTAGAAACTAAAACCCATTTTTTAAAAAAGGGTAAACCACAGAGCCTTTCTCAATCATCCTTTAAAATGTGGAATGTTAGATAGGAGATTTTCAAATAAGCTTCCACAAACGTACTTTGTTTATTTTTTCAGTCAAAATCAAATAATATGTATCTCTGGGAGGTCACAAGACGATGTCATCTTTTAATCATGGTCAAGACAATACTGAATAAAGTTTTAAAAATTAAAAAAAAAACCAAATAATATATATCACTACCTAAGTTTTCACAGTTCAGACTGCCAAGATGAACCACTAACAGAGCTTATAATTTTTCTAAGGTTTTACATAAGGCAATGCATTCTGCTACTGGGCTCTACACACAGTCCCCCAAAAAGTGTTTTAATTACACTTCTAGGAAACCAAGATCGTAAAGAAAACTGGAAGGACAAAAACCCCTTCCTCACTCCCACTGACCCCTACAGCCCACACTGCGGTCCTTCAGAACGTCAGCTTATTTCACGCACAGACCTGCAGCAGGGACCTGAAGTGTTTTGTTTAATTATACAAAATCATCTGGGCCAGCTGAAGCGATGCAGATGTCTGAAATAATAAGTTTCTTGAATCTAGAAGTGTCAAATTTTTAGCTAACGGAAATGAACTCATCCCCTCATGCATGTGGGTAGGCCACCACGGAGCACAGCCCTCCCCAGGCTGAGGCTTTCTAACTTCTCTGTACTCCCACTAGAATATCAGCACTCACTGCCAGCCACTGTCAAGTGAACATACTGTCTGACTGGTCACAAGCATGGAGCAACCTGTCAAGTGTGGTGGCGCACGCCCAGTGCTCGGGAGGCTGATACAAAAGGATCACTGCAAGTTCAAGGCAGTCACGGCTAGAAAGTGAGTTCAAGGCCAGCCTGAACTGCATAGTGAAACCCTGTCTAAAAAAATTTTTTTAAATAAAAAATAAAAATCCCACAAAAACAGATACGGCAACTACTGGCTCCATTACTACCATGGATATATATGATAATAGCCTGGTGAATTCCCGGCCAAGTGGGCCTAGTGAGTCAATTAATAACCAAGCCAACTCATGCCACAAGCCTGCCCAGAGCAGCACGGCCTCCACACCGCACAGTTCTGTAGGACTTCAGGCTGAAACCTTCAACCTCAGCTCAGGCAGCTGACCATGACGCCAGAGCCCTTCCTAAGGAGTCAAACTGACCTCCAAACTGCTGAAGCTCAATTTCTTTTTTTTTTTTTTTTTTAAATCTTTTAGTTATTTATCTATTTGGTACAAGGTCT